TAATGGATACGTACATTCTGAAATGATTAAAAAATTGATTATATCGCCAGCCAAAAGTTCGGATAATACGCGAGGAGAACCCTTTTCATATTTGACGTAATTTATTCGCGTAGCGTACGACCATATTAAAATCTAAATAAATAATACTTCAAGTTCGTCAATTTTTGATGAGAAATGCTTGGGTCCAAAAATATGGGCGATGCGAAAATTGTTTCAGTTTCCATGTTCAGGGATGTACACTGAAATCTCGTCCTTCGAATCCTCCATTTATTATATCTTTACATCAACCCCGATAGCTAAATATCGGTAAAGGAAAAGATAAGCAGTCAATTGGAAGAAGCAGAGGAAGACAATTAAAATTAGAACAATTAAAACAGCATTCAAAATTGTCGATCCAAGCAGCAACACAGTTCTCAACGGTACAAATGGCCCTTGTATCCGAGTTCCCTAATTTAACCATTGACCTCGTCAGAAGCAAAACGAAGGACAAAGTCGATAAACAGGCGATTAGAAGAAGCAGAGGAGACAATTAAAATTAGAACAATTAAAACAGTATTCAAAATGTCGGTCCAAGCAGCAGCACAGTTCTCAACGATACTAATGGCCCTTGTATCCGAGTTCCCTAATTTAACCATTGACCCTCGTCAGAAGCAAAACGAAGGACAAAGTCGATAAACAGTCGATTAGAAGAACCCGAGATTCCGGCCGAGTGAAAAGCGAATTAATTCACGGTCCCGATGTATATTCAGCCGGCTCGACTTTACGCGGCGAGGCATACGTCCTCATTTTCCCTTCAAGTAACGGCGATCCCTTTACTGTCCACATAAACATTTTTATTGCGAGGGAGACTTCTGCCGAAGCAAAACGATCTCGTTTTACATAGAGCGAGAGAGAGAGAGAGAGAGAGAGAGAGAGAGAGAGAGGAAGGAAGAGAGAAAAAAAAATGTCAGTCGCAGCAGAACCTGGTTTTTTTTACGGTTGAACTCTCCGCGTAATTCGAACGGTCCTCTTCCGCGGCCGTAAAAGAGTGCAGCGAACGAAAAATGCGAAACAAGCGGGCGGGCGGGTGCCTGCGTGCGACACACGGCCCTCCGTTGGTACTTAAAGGAACGTGTGGTAACATTATACGATAGTTTGCGGTGGATGGGAGGCGAGTGATTTTAATGCCTTCGCGGGCGCAGAAATTGCAACGCCCTCGATAGACGCCGGGATCTCCGTGCGGAAGAATTCGCTGGCCGTCTAAGATCCGCCATGTTGGAAGCGGCGGCTTTTGGAACGAACCCGCATTTACGACCACCGCGATTTTCATTTTTTTCCCTCCGTTAACTCCGAACGCGAGAGATCAATTTTTCGGATGCGTTTTCCGTCGCGACGCCTTTTCGCGCGACATCGTCGCGCTGACAAATCGGCGAATTATCGGCGATATTAAACGGTCGAGTTAGCGGACGGATCGAAAATAAAATAGCGATGATAATTCATGCGCGAATATTGTAATCGACTCGCCAACGGGGACCGGCCGCGTAAATGCTGTTCGACGAATTAATCTAGCCCCGGCTTTAAATTATACGAAAATAATTACGGATATATTTAACCCCCGCGATGCTTCGCGCGCGGCGCGATCCTGGCGCATCAAAACTTACTCTACTCACTGATTTTCACTAATTACTTTGTTAATAATTAGCCGCGAAATAATTGACGCGCGCAGACATTTATGTATGCATTAATCGCGGTATAGATTTGTAAATATTACAGCGTTCTCTGTTGCCCGATCGATCTCTGATTTATTAACGCGAAGTAAACGTTGGCAACGGAAAAATATTCGTGTTGTTTAAGCGCGGTCGTTTCAGGCTCGTCGGTGGGAATCAGCGCAGAATTTCGTTCGCGAAAAATTCCTTGGAACTGTAAATTATTATTATTATTATTATTATTATTATTGATTCTGTGCGTGCCCGATCGATCTCTGATTTATGAACGCAAAGTAAACGTTGGCAACAGAAAAATATTCGTATTGTTCAAGCGCGGTCGTTTCAGGCTCGTCGGTGGGACGCAGAATTTCGTTCGCGAAAAATTCCTTAGAACTGTAAATTATTATTATTATTATTATTGATTCTGTGCGTGACCCAGTTCGCATTTCGTAAATAATAACTCGGACGAACGGAATCGTCGATGCGACGACGACTGTCGTTCGGGCGACTCTCTGCTCGTGAGCTCGATTATTCAGAAGTTCGCCGCGCTTTTATATTTTCAACTGAAATAATATGTCGTCAAAGCACCGCCGGCCGAGCCAATGAAATAAATAGCGGCCAATCGATTCCCGGAAAAATTCCGGGATATTCAGTGGCCGCGTTACGCGGGATACGACGTTTGCTTATAAACAGAGAAATGCTTCCGTTTTATTATTATTATTATTATTATCATCGTTATTATTATTTCAAACGAGAAACGAAACGAAACGAAACGGCGCGGTAATCAGTGCCGCGTGTTTTCGCGGCACGCGGCACAAAGGACGTTGCAGGACCAATCTAGGATCGCCTGATGAATTATCATCGGACACGCGATACTCGCCGCGAATGCTCGCGCTTTCCCGCTAATTTCGGGATCCGCCGTTCCCCGTCCGGCGCCCTCCCATTCTTTCTGTTTACTTCGCCGCTGAACTTTGATGTAGTCCCGTCGTAATTACTACACGCTCCGGATCGGTGTCGCTCGTTCCCGCATTTTCATATGCAAACGTGCCGGCGGACCGATATTAAATTAATATCCCTGGTCGAAACGTCCGCGAAGCCCCGGGCTCGTCCGATCAGTCAAGTGGATGAATTTGTCGTTTCGCGGCACGACAACGCAAATTTTCTACGATACCCGAGCATTCTTAACGCTAAACTTGCCAAGCAGTAATACTAACTGGCATATACTGCTCTCACAAAAGTGAGAAGACCGAATTTATATTTGGAATTTGTAATGTTTTTATTATAGAACTTGCTCCAATAATATAACTTATTGAAGCGTTTCCCACGAAAGAGTCTCGGAACTTTGCAGAATTGCAAGATACGTTTGTTTAACACTAAATCAACCAAGCAGTAATACTAACTGACATGTACTGCTCTCACAAAAGTGAGAAGACCGAATTTATTTGGAATTTGTAATGTTTTTATTGTAAAATCTTGCTCCGATAATATAACTTATTGAAGCGTTTTCCACGAAAGAGTCTCGGGACTTTGCAGAATTGCAAGATACGTTTGTTTGACACTAAATCAACCAAGCAATAATACTAACTGGCACGTATTGCTCTCACAAAAGCGAGAAGACCGAATTTATTTGGAATTTGGAATGTTTTTATTATAAAACTTGCTCTGATAATATAACTTATTCAAGCGTTCTCCACGAAAGAGTGTCGGGACTTTGCAGAATTGCAAAATAAGAAAGCGGTCACTTTTTAACGCTTCGACCGCCGCGCCGACAACCTGAACAATTGCATAAGACTGAAGCGTTTTGCTCGATCGAATTAAAATTGGAAAGTTAAATTGTATCGCATCGATTTGTGCGGCAACAAATTAAAGGGATCATCGGCTTCCTAATTTCTGACGCATCAGAACTGCCCGAATGTCTGCATCGAAGAGATTCACGAATCCAGACAATGTAGCATCCGTAGAGATATGTTTAACGCTAAACCTACCAAGCAGTAATACTAATTGGCACGTACTGCTCTCACAAAAGTGAGAAGACCGAATTTATTTGGAATTTGTAATGTTTTTATTGTAAAATCTTGCTCCGATAATATAACTTATTGAAGCGTTTTCCACGAAAGAGTCTCGGGACTTTGCAGAATTGCAAGATACGTTTGTTTGACACTAAATCAACCAAGCAATAATACTAACTGGCACGTATTGCTCTCACAAAAGCGAGAAGACCGAATTTATTTGGAATTTGGAATGTTTTTATTATAAAACTTGCTCTGATAATATAACTTATTCAAGCGTTCTCCACGAAAGAGTGTCGGGACTTTGCAGAATTGCAAAATAAGAAAGCGGTCACTTTTTAACGCTTCGACCGCCGCGCCGACAACCTGAACAATTGCATAAGACTGAAGCGTTTTGCTCGATCGAATTAAAATTGGAAAGTTAAATTGTATCGCATCGATTTGTGCGGCAACAAATTAAAGGGATCATCGGCTTCCTAATTTCTGACGCATCAGAACTGCCCGAATGTCTGCATCGAAGAGATTCACGAATCCAGACAATGTAGCATCCGTAGAGATATGTTTAACGCTAAACCTACCAAGCAGTAATACTAATTGGCACGTACTGCTCTCACAAAAGTGAGAAGACCGAATTTATTTAGAATTTGTAATGATTTTATTATAAAACTTACTCCGATAATATAACTTATTCAAGCGTTTACCACGAAATAGTCTCGGAACTTTTCAGAATTGCAAAATAAGAAAGCGGTCGCTTCGACCGCGGTAGCTTTAGTGTTAAAAAATACTCAACTTTCTACGACTTTCTCGCATTGTCTCGTCGCTTCGTGGATCCCAAAAATTTCCGTCTTTCCCCCCGACGTCGATCGAATAATCAACGAACCGATTCGGAAACGCGTGCGAACGTCGCAGCCGTCCTCTTGCCGGTTCCAGCACCCCCCGGAGCCTGGTTCCAGCTACAAAACAATGCGGATCCACGTGTTCACGGTGTCCCGAGCAAAGTCCTCCGGAATCGTTCGACGACGAAACGTCGGCCATCGATCCTGAACGACAACGATCGCGATCTCGACACTAGAGGAATCTCGGCCACCAGTTTCACGACGCGAAGACCCCTGTCGAAGCCGATCGACCCGGCACAATCGTCATTGTTCCCTCGAACAATTTACCATCGTAAGATTAGCAAACGATAATTGAAGTCCAAGAAGAAGAACGGCGACAATCACCGATCACCGTCGTCGCCGAAACGATAAAACACAACTCCGACGGTCTGCCTCGAACGAGCAGAAATAAATCGGGCTCTGTTACTCACCTGTACACGCGGCGACAGGTAGCCCCACGATCCGACGATGTCCTGGTGGAGGCGCGATCGAGGCGATCCACGGAGATCCCTGAGATCCGTGAGGAGGCGAGCACGAGAGCGTCGCGTGCTGCTCGTGCCAGCAAATGAGATAATAATCGGAGGACTCAGTCACTCGTCGTCGGGCACAGTGGTAGGCACAGCGGTGGCAGGGTGGTTGTTCGGCGGCGGTGCTGAAAGTGGGGGTTGTATTCCATCCCTGGCGACCGTCGGCGACGAGACGAGTGCGAGTGCACGGGGAACGGAGACGGAAAGCGTGCCAGAGACGGGGCGGCGGCGGCCGCGGGAGCGAGAGAACCGACGGAGGACGGGCGAACGGGGGTAGTAGGCAGGAGGAGGGCTGGAGGCAGAGGGTGGTGGTTTTTGAGATGATCCGGCCAATCTGCGCATCATTTCCCCGATGCACCCCGCGTCGCGGCAAACCGGCGCGGATTCCGCACCACCGCAAGCACCGTGGAAGCCCTGTTGAATGCCACATTTTGAGGCAGCCGGTGGAAAGAAAGGGACGGCGAGACCGCGCGCGAGCAGGACGCCACCGCCGACAGAGGGTAGGAAAAAGAACGAGAGAAGGAGAGGAAGAGGGCGGCACTAAAAAAAGGGGGAGAGAAACCGGGGGGAGAGAGGACTACAACCGTACCGTACCCCTGCCGCGGGGATGAAAAAAAGTGGAAAACAGATATAGGCAAAAGAGAATCTTTCTCTTCCTCCTCTTCCCACCGTCCCTTCCCCCTCGTCCTACTCTACACCTCCTACCACCGCGTCACCTCCTCTACCTACCTCTGCCATCGTCTCTCCACCTCCTACACCGCATCCTCTTCCTCTGACGACGACGACGGCGACGACGACGACGACGACGACGACGACTCGCTGAATGCGGCTGTCTTCGTGTCTCTTCGGTGTACAGACGTATCGAGGATATGTTTACACTGTCGGGGAAGAATCTGCTCCCGTTCACGACTGGAATATCGATTTTTAATGCACGCCGGAATTGAGACGTGCATGCCATTGCCAGTTTATCTTAGGTAATGGTTTGCCGTTCCTCGCGGAATTAAATGGACGGCCTCGACGCCGGTGGACCGTGCGGGGTCCTGCGCAATTAGTCCTCCTGCCGCGGCAGGACGATTTTATCTGGCATTAGCAGGCTGCCGGGATTCTTTCTTTTTTTTTTTGTTGCTGCCTGTTCTCTCCGTTGTTCGGGATATCGTAGTTCGAGATCGTTTTCATATTTTTTTCTCAGAGCGAATACACTGGGTTGCTCCGAGGGTAATTTCGTTTTGTAGGGCAGTCGAGGGAACGTCTGATTCAGCGGTTTCGCCAATAAAGATCTTTGCGAGCTGTGGATTTTAATGGTACCGGCAAGATGGCGAAAGGGTGTATATACATATATAAGGGTGTGTATTATATTTTGGGTTGGCAACTAAGTAATTGCCGATTTGTTCAATGAAAGAAAAATTTTTTTTACTTGGAACGAAGTTTAATCTGTAATGTATTTTTCATTTTGTTCGATGACCTTTTGACATCTCTCTGACAACTTGAAAATTCCACGCTCGTAGAAAGTCTGATCGTTTTCGGCCGAAAACTGAGTTAAGTGAGATTTTACAGCGTCATCATCGTTAAAAGTTTTACCACGAAGAGAGTTGTCCAGGGATCGAAATAAGTGGTAATCCGATGGCGCGAGATCAGGGCTATATGATGGGTGTAACATTAATTTCCAACCAATATCCATCAATTTTTGCCGAGTGGACAAAGACGCGTGCGGCCTAGCATTGTCCTGCTGGAAAATGACACCTTTACGATCGACCAATTCTGGTCGCTTTTCCTTGACCGCTGCATTCAATTTGTCCAGTTGCTAACGTTCACGGACAATAAAAAATAACATAATAATAATAATAATAATTTTATAATATAA